CAGGCAGCGAAGTAGCCACAGAACTAGACATTTTGTCAAACAAAATGAAAAGCAGGAGAGAGAAAATTTCCATACCACAAAACTTATATCACTATTATCAGATGTTGAAGATGTTTACAGTAATGAACAATTCACTGAAGTAGCCAACTCATTTTACAACACTTTTCTGCTTTCTTTAGAAAAATGGAGTATAAATGTTCTCTCATTTAATGTTTCATTGGGCACCACTTAAGAATCCTCCTACTTGGGAGAAAATACCACATAGTATAAAAGTAAAACGTATAACAAAGATTTTAGATGAAGATGAACTTTTTGATTAATTTATTCATCTTAAAACCTTGCATACCATGTAGTGTATTGGAATATAAAACACACATATAAACAAAACTGTTTACACTTTCAAGGACACTAATCCCAAACGCATTTCTACCTCAAGAGGTTATCATCAGTGGCAAAAAACAAGTTACTTCATATAATACAATTCAAAAGATTATGGTTTTTAACAGAGCATAAAAGGTATGTACTTTACAAAACAATACTTATGTAACACCTCACTGGACGTTGATTGCACTGGAGTTGATGTATTAAATTGAGCACCAGTAGACATAAAAGCTAAGTGCTCAATTTAATACATGAACTCCTGTGCAATCATTGTCCAATGAGGTGTTTTATAAGTATTGTTTTGTAAAGTAGATACCTTTTATGCTTGATTAAAAACCATAATCTTTTTGATTTGTATTATATGAATTAACTTGTTTTTTGCCACTGATGATGATCTCTTGAGGTCGAAATGCATTTGGCATTAGTGTCCTTCAAAGTGTAAACAGTTTTGTTTGTATGCATGTTTTATATTATAATTTATTCATATTACAAATATATGTAAAACAGGATGGCTGAATGGAATACATAATCACAACTTTTGAAGGATGGTCTGAAATTTTGAGTTAAGGAAAAAAACAACTCTTTTGGAACTCTCTTTAGCCATTCCTAATACTAGTGCAGCTATGGAGAGAGTATTTTCCATCACAAATGATCTGAAGACTGACCAAAAGAAACGTTTTCTTGTTGAAACCATCAAAGCAGTGACAGTAACAAAAACACATTTTGTGGAACTTTTGTGCAGCAACTTCTATACTTTGATTTCAAAGAATCCCATATAACTTCAATTAATTCATTTACATATGAAGTTCAAGACATCTGCCCAAGAGCAAAGAACAACTTCTTCAACATTATCTGGAAATGAACTTAAAATAAAATTCTCTAAGTCTTAATGAAAAAATTAATTAAAATATAAATTTAGTTAAAATAATATTAGTGAAATTATCTGTTGTAAATTAGACATCATTGATAACAGTTTCCCATTTTTAGTTTTTGATCACCGTCTTAAATAAACCACAACTACTTGCATATACTTCCCAGTTTATTATGTGTATATCATCTTATCATTGAAACCTATGGTATGTGAGCCACTGTTGAGTGGTACGCGAACTAAGTAAGAAAATCAAAAGATAATATTAACATAAATAAGTTTTCCCTGAACGCATTTGGTTAGTGGTACATTTCATGTGTTAAATTAGAATTAGTGGTACGCCAGCAAAACAGACTGAGAACCCCTGAGTTAGATGGTTACGATAACTCATTCTTGTAATTTACTAATTATGCCCAAAGGTGAACATTTAAAAAGACCAAATGTTGATAAACTGACCAACAGTTCAGTAGTTTGTAAAAATATTGCAGCTTGCAATAACAAAATTTTTTGCTTCATTTACTGTAGCATAGGAGACAGTCCAAGTTGCTTACACTTTTCTGGATGTTAAGAACATGGTTGTGTCATTTTAAAGGCAGATTTTTAAATGGCTGTTAATCTTGTTACTGCTTTTGCATTTGTTCAGATATGAATTAAAGAGGAATAAGTTCATGTTTTGTTTTATTTGTATAGAATTGGCCACGAGTGTTCTTGTCTTGGTTATATTCCAGGATAAGCTCAGAATTTCTGTGCTCTGTCTAAAGTTCTGAAAGTTTGCATGAAATAACAAAAAGCATAGACTTTATTTATTGTGTTGATTTAGCTACAATTCCACATTTCAGAATTTTCTTGCTTCTAATGATTATAAAATCTTACAAGCTGTAATATCCTTCATTTTACAGAAATATGGTTTCATGATAACTGGGTTTTATACGTGTGTAGTGTACTCAGTTTCACTTCTGTATCTAAAGTGGAAATTCAGTGGAATATAAATACAACAAAGACATTTTCAGAAGTGAAAAAGGGAAAGGTGTTGGGGGTAAGGTGTGTTACAGTAGCACAAATTTTGCGTTATACATAAAAGTTAAATTCTGTGACATTTCAGGTTATAGTAAACAGTTCCTGTCTGGTGTACCACTCAAAAGTAGAATTATAAATGCATTTAATATTGAATTATACTTCTGTTTTGTGTTTAATGTCTCTAAGTAACTGCAATAGTGTCTTTGGTGTAGATGATAAATTCTTTAGGTAAGGGCCAGGTTTTGCACCTTTTTCTGCATGCAGAGAAACAGCTTTAGCTTCCATGTGGATCGATGTTAATACTGTATCTTCAGGAACACTGTTTCCCATCATATTAAATAGCAAATAATAACTAACTAACTAACTAGATGGCTTACCAAACCCGAAGGTTCATCACCGAATTAACCAAAGTCCTGGGCCAACAAAATCCAGTTTTCTTCAACTCCTATCTCCCATAGATCCCGCCTGAGATTATCCTCCCATCTACGGCTAGGTCTCCCCAGCGGTCTCTTCCCCTCAGGCTTCCCAACCAATACCCGGTGCAAATAGCAAATAATAGAGTGTGCAAAATGTAATGTAACATCGGTTAGGAAGTAACATTTTATAAAAAAAATTTAAAATGGCTGGTAATTTATGGACAGAGTAGAAATTTTATGCATGTTATATAATTACAATACTTTTGTAATTGAATTAATAAACATATGTTTGTGTGGAATATTTTTTGTTGAGTGTAACTGTCTTATTCAAACTGAATGAGTGTAACTGTCTTATTCAAACTGAATATCATATCAGTATTTTATTTCCATTAATGAGATATTGTAAATGCGTCATATTGTGATTCATAAGTATTAAAAATATATTAAAAAAAATTTCCGTCAATCACAAGTATAATAATGTTACAAGATTAAAACATCATTTAATGTTCCCCATCGAGTACTCGATTACAATAATAGGAACTTACACGACTAGTTTCGGCTATAATTTAGCCATCAACTTACATATATGTTCATTTGATATCACAAACATGTATACAAACATCCCTACAAATATTTTAATAGATATTATACAAAATATTTTAAGTAAACAAAATACTAATATACAAACAATAAATGAAATCAAATTAATAACAAACACCATTATAAATCAGAATTACTTTCAGTTTAATAACAAATATTGGCAACAGAATACAGGACTACCCATGGGCGCTCCTACATCAGGCATATTATCTGAAATTTTCCTTCAATACATAGAACATAATAATATAATAAACATTTTAAATAAAAACCATATTCAATATTATAGTAGATACGTAGATGACATACTAATAATTTACAATACAAAAAAGACTGATATCCAACAAGTACTAAAAGAATTTAATAATATAAATCAAAATATACAATTTACATTAGAACTTGAACAAAATAACTCAATAAATTATTTAGATTTAACAATAATAAGAAAAACAAACAATTTCGAAATCAAAATTTACAGAAAACCAACAAATACAAGCACAATAATACATGCCTCATCCTG